CCAGTCCAACCTCCTGCCAAGAAGCAGGAACATTGCATTCAAAGCACTCCCAACAGATGGCCATCCAGCCTCTGTTTAAAAGCTTCCATAGAAGGAGCCTCCACCACATTCCGTGGCAGAGAGTTCCACTGCTGAACGGCTCTCACAGTCAGGAAGTTCTTCCTAATGTTCTGATGGAATCTCCTTTCTTATAGTTTGAAGCCATTGTTCCGCGTCCTAGTCTCCAGAGAAGCAGAAAACAAGTTTGCTCTCCCCTCCCTGTGGCTTCCTCTCACATATTTATACATGGCTATCATGTTTCCTCTCTGCCTTCTCTTCTTTAGGCTAAACATGCCCAGCTCTTTAAGCCGGTCCTCATAGGGCTTGTTCTCCAGACCCTTGATCATTTTAGTCGCCCACCTACTTCAACTCCATGTTCAGATTAAATTAAAGAAAAACACAAGCAGCAGTGCCTACTGAAGTTGTCTATGGATACATCTACACAGTAGAATTAATGCAATTTGACTCCACTTGGAACTGCCATGGTTCAATGTTATGACATCCTGGGAGTTGTAGTTTGAAAAGGTCTTTAGTGTTCTTTGCCAAAAAGGACTGGTGCCTCACCAACTACAGCACTGATTCATGGCAATCCAAGTGGTGTCAAACTGCATTCATTCTACAGTGTATATGCACTCCATGTAATTTTAAAGCTATCCAGTAGCAGGCACTTCAGAAATTATAGTAGCCCTTCCTTGCTAGAAGCCAACAAGACATGTAGTTAGCTCCCTCTCCTGGTAAATAAAGATATTGCAGTTCATTATCTTTTTTTAAAAAAGCAAGTTGGCTTTACACAGTAAGAACCAACAAATGTGTTCATGATGACCAAGCTCCATATCATCTGTTGTAATAAAATCTACTCTGTTCTCAAATGAGTCCACTAGATTATGGCTCAACAGCCCAAACCAGTTTGTCCAGTAGAAGCAAAATCCTTACAACCTATATTGGACAGATGCAGCACACTCTGAGGATTAAGTTGGTTAGCCCAAACCATTCAGTCTGAACCTTGATAGTACCCACTGATATAATCCAAGATCCATCTTTGCTGCTGCAGTTATTGAGGGCACAATAAAATTGTTAGTCCCACCTGAGGGTTGAATGAAAAGTAATGCCTCCACCTTCGTTACTTGGGCCTGGATGGGAATATTTTAATAAATCAAATGCAGAAATAATCCTTAGAATGTGCTCTTTAACTAACACTATTCACTTTTCCACATAATCACCAGACAATTGGATACATTTCTGCCAATGATGAACAAGTTTTCTGAAGCTGTCACGGAAGAAGTGGACACTCTGTTTCCGCAACCAGCATCTCAGTTATCTCAACGTCTTCATCAGAAGCATAATGATGTCCCCGCAGATCTTCTTTCATTATTGGGAACAGTTGGAAGTCAGATGGTGCTAAATCTGGACTGTATGGAGGATGTCGTATGGTGGTGAGATCCAATCTCTGAAGTTTCAAGTCTGTGCACTTTCATTTCAGGCATCAGCATCCTGGGTACCCATCATGCACAGATCTTCCGATAGCCAAGTAAAGCAATAATGTGACCCACGCGTTTTTGTGAAATGAACATTATGCTTGAAATTTCTCTGTGAGTGATGTCACGATTGTCCTGAATCAATGTCAACCTTTTGCTTGTGAAACATGGTGGTTGCTGTCACCGGACGTCCAACTCTTCGTTTGTCACGCAAGTCAGATGTTCCCACCTTTACATCTTTAAACTTACTTGGTAGTTGCTGTCACAGGACGTCCAACTCTTCGTTTGTCACGCAAGTCAGATGTTCCCACCTCAACATCTTTAAACTTACTTGCCCAACAACGCACAGTACTCACATCAACACAATCACCATAAACAGCTTGCATTCTCTGATGAATCTCCTTTGTGGTGACACCTTCTGCTGTCAAGAATTCAATGACTGCACGTTGCTTAAGTCGTACTGACTGACTGTCTGTGCAGGGTTCCATACTTTGCCCTTTAACAACACAACTGTTCAATGCTAAAGCTTCCCGCCAAAATGGAACTGTAGAGGAAAGTCTACTTAACAAACCAGTACCTGCCGCATACCAGTACTGCCATCTGTTGAGGAGTTATGAAGGTGGAGGCATTACTTTTCATTCAACCCTTGTACAACTTTAAGATATCTTCCTCATTACTCTAATGGAATAATTAAGGCATTTTGCCCTTTTAGATATCAAAGCCAACTTCAGTAAAATCCGGCATACAACAGAAGATAAGAGATTTTTAAAAAATATTGTGTGAAAGGAAGACATATATCTCCCCATGCACTAAATACTCTCAAAAAGAAACAGAAAAAACTAATACGTTGAATAAGAAAGGGGGAAAATTAAAAACATGAAGTCACAAGCACCAGATTAGTGAAAAATAAACTAGGATCAGCAAGGAGAAAATGACCTCGGTCTTGGGAAAATGCAAAGAAGAAAAATGGGATGGACTTCTAGTTCAATGGCCCCTGTCTTGCTCTGAAAATTTTGGAGAACTCCTATGCACCCATCTGGGAGGGAAAAACCCACTATTTTTTAAATTAAAATCTTTATTCACATAATACTTTTTTAAAATTCAGATTCCAACCTTAGGGAAACATATGACACAGCTGATATTACATTGTTTTCTCATCTCTCAATATCTTCCATTCCAAAGACAACCATCTGGTAGCTCCAAGAAGTGTAATGATCAAGTATTCTGCTTCAGCTGCCACACAAATAAGTTATCTTTGTAATAAGTTAGTTTCTTATTTTTTTTTAATTGTGACCACTCTAGTTCCAGTTCATTAGATGCCAACGTTGAAGCTTATTTGATTCATTCAGCTTCTTCATCAGTTCAGACAAGAGTAACCTCTTCCAAATATTTCAGAGCTACAAAACAAGTTCTGTGTCACATAGCATGGAAGTATGCATCTGTTAACCACATTGGATCAAGTTTCGTAATGGCATGCAGCTGCCTGATTGCATAAGGGCAAAAGAAATATGGGGGCAACAAAGTTGTAAGATGTATTGTCGAAGGCTTTCATGCCCGGAATCACTGGGTTGTTGTAGGTTTTTTTCGGGCTATATGCCCATGTTCTAGAGGCATTCTCTCCTGATGTTTCGGCTGCATCTATGGCAAGCATCCTCAGAGGTAGTGAGATCTGTTGGAACCAAGAAAAAGGGTTTATATATCTGTCGAATGACCAGGGTGGGAAAAAGGACTCTTGTCTGCTGGAGCTAGGTGTGAATGTTTCAACTGACCACCTTGATTAGCATTTGATGGCCTGGCAGTGCCTGGAGCAATCAGAAGAGCTGCAAGACCAAGAACAAGCCACGAAAATCAAGACAAAGATCCACCCAGAGGAAAAGTGTTCTTGCCATACATCAAGGGAACCACTGACCACATAGGGAAGCTGATGAGGAAACACAACATACAAACTATCAGCAAAGGACAAGAGGGATCCTCTCACTTCTGCAGGAGTCTACCGTATCTCATGCAGCTATGGACAAGTCTACATAGGGACCACCAAACGCAGCATTGCCCAAACACGAATCAAGGAACATGAAAGGCACTGCAGACTACTTCAGCCAGAGAAGTCAGCCATAGCAGAGCATCTGATGAACCAACCTGGACACAGCATATTATTTGAGAACACAAAAATGCTGGACCACTCTCACAACCACCATGTCAGACTACACAGAGAAGCCACTGAAATCCACAAGCATGTGGACAATTTCAACAGAAAGGAGGAAACCATGAAAATGAACAAAATCTGGCTACCAGTATTAAAAAAAACTAAAATTACAACAGCAAAACAACAGAGAGGAAGCAGGCAGGGACATCTAATCACCTCTCAACAAAAGATTGCCTCAGGCACTGCCAGGCCATCAAATGCTAATCAAGGTGGTCAGTTGAAACATTCACACCTAGCTCCAACAGACAAGAGTCTTTTGCCCCACCGTGGTCATTCCACAGATATATAAACTCTTTTTCCTAGTTCCAACAGACCTCACTACCTCTGAGGATGCTTGCCATAGATGCAGGCAAAACGTCAGGAGAGAATGCCTCATGGCCATATAGCCCAAAAAAACCTACAACAACCCAAAGTTGTAAGATGTTTCCATCAGTAACAGTATATATTCCATTTCTAAGTAATTGTCATAGCAGGCTTTTGATATGTCCAAAATATCTTACCTTAGCACTTGACTCAATATGTTCATGTTGCGGTCCACTGAACTTTATGTTCGCAACTGTTAACTGATGCCTCTTATTACAATTCAAGATGGCTACCTTAATCAACAAACTGGTGAATTGTTTTTTGTCCAAGCAGACAGCTTGCTACAGATATGGCTTGGAGTTAACTACTGTTTAGGACAACTTGTAACTTGGATAAGTGTCTTAAAATGCTCCAGATCTCGAATAATTATTGGAAGTTTATTACATCCTTATTTTGCTTCTTGTCTGTGTGCTCTAAGTTCCTAATCTGCAAATCTAACTCTGTTGCATCTTTTGTCCAAAGCCTTCAGCCTGGTTTTTAGGTTCTGCCTAACTGGCAAGCCATATACTGATTTCAGGAATATTAATCTGTTAAAAAAAGTGCTGAGATCTCTGACCAAGTTTGGTGATAAAACATATGGACACTACATGTCAAGATAGACACACAGAAATAAGGTTCCACAGAGTTCCTTAAATATGGCAGAGGAGGAATCCTCAGGACTATCAGAGAAGAGACATCTAACATGTCCTGAAGCTACAAATACAAGCTACATCTCCAGGGTAATGGTCATGAAACCATTGGATCACAACTTGTGTTTAAAAGTCTGCTGAAAAACCTTGGAGGTTCAGCTCAGCCCTAAAAAATGACTGAATGTCACATGTGGTATCATGGTACCTGTGGTGGTGACCTCAGGGCATGACATATTAATCAAATTCCCAATTATTCAGACCCTGGTAGCATTTCTCTTTTAAATTCCTGCTAATTTCAGCAACATGAAAAGCTATCAGAAATAAGAAGATATGATGAATCATCCTGATCCTTCCCACTTTTTTGAAGAATGATTTGTTTCAATTGTATCTGCATATTTTTTTTTGTAAAAAAAATCAAAGAGTATTCTTTATCAAGGTAGCAAGAACCTTGAACATGGGAGCACAAGTTTGACTAGTAGTTTCTAACTTCCATGACTGGTAAGAGTCTTTGCAGCATCATGCAAATCCGAATCCTTTCAATCTTGTCAATGGGTTACAGATTTCAAACAGTTTTTTCCCCTCACATTTTAGAATTGAGTTGACACAGGAAATTGTATGCTCCTTCATTTGGCTCTCGAGAAAATTCCAGACAAAATCCTTCGGATATGTGTGTCAGGACAGACACCAAGAGATATCTTTAGCAGCCATATCTGCCTCTTTAGGTAGCCAGCATGGATGCCTTGATTTTACAAACCTGAACTGTACTAAATTAATATATTTGCAACAGTTGAGGGACCTATGGCTCTTTTCAAGAACCAGTATATATTAATGCCCCAATTCCCATTTCTTCCTCAAGGCATCCCAGGAGAGTTTTCAGTGCAACATCCACTGCCAGCAATGGACATCCCAAAAAATGACATTGGGCGACCTGAGAGCAAGTTCCTTGTCTTCAGCAGAACGTTCAAACCACTGATGCTTTCTTCTTGAGTGCAGCAAATCTGGTGTTGGCAGTCCCAATCCGTCTTGTTCGTAGCCATGCAGAGCCAATTGTGCTGTTTTTCTAATTGTTCTTTTTTCCTTTCAAAGAATCCAACCAACGTCTGTTAAAGCTACAAATGGGAAAGTGTCATTCTATCTTCCACCAGAACGGTGTCTGGCCCAAACTGCTCTGTACACTGCTTTACTGTAGACAAGATGTTCAAGAGCCGTTGGTCCAGGGCATCCATATGAGGGGCAGAGAGCACAGGAGAGAGAGGATCGTGTGACATGGCAGTTTTTAAGGCAGATTTCAACACTCCATTCTTCAGGTAGTTGAGCCGATTCCAAGTAGAGACTCGGACACTGCAAAAGAAAAGGAAGAATGTGTAACAAAGCAAAGTCTGCAAAGCAGAGATGAAAGTGAGGGACAGAGCCAGTCTTTTAAAAACTATTCACATAGGCTCATCATGTGAAGCACATTCATTTAGAATTGAACAAAACAATGGACAGGCGTGTTCATATTTTGCCACATGCACACACACTTCATATAAAGATGTGAATAATATTGTGGACTTAAGTGATGAGATCAAAGTTCAGCCATGAATGATTTAAGTCCACTCAATTTCTTGGCCTTGTCTAACCTCACAGGCAAATGGATAAGAAATAATTGTTCTTGAAAAAACAAGATGGGATGGAAATATAGGTTGCTTACCTGTAACTGTAGTTTCCCGAGTGGTCACCTGTGAATTCACACATATGGTAGTTTCTGCGCCTAAGCAGAAAGCTTCGGAACCTTCTAGATCAGTGGTTCTCAACCTGAGGTCCCCAGATGTTTTTGGCCTACAACTCCCAGAAATCCCAGCAAGTTTACCAGCTATTAGGATTTCTGGGAGTTGAAGGCCAAAAACATATGGGGACCCCAGGTTGAGAACCACTGTTCTAGATAGATTTGAAAAACTTTGGCGGTTGGCCCCGCCCACTCTCCCCTTGCGAGTATAAGTAGCAGGTGGGCGGAGCCACCGCCTCAGTTCTGTTCTTCCGCCGCGGATGCAGCCAGAAAAACCGAGGCATGACAAACAGCGGGGAGGATGGGCGGGGATGTGCGAATTCACAGGTGACCATGATGGGAAACTATGAAAACTATATACAGTCTGTCTTTTGCAGTGTCCATTATTTTGCATGAAGTTGTTAAATTGGACTGTTCTGTTCCAAGTTCTATGCATACATAGAACTTGGGAAATATAGACAGAACATGATTTGAAGTAGCCAGGATTTTGATTCGGGGGGTGCTGAGTTTGATTCTGGGGGGGGGGCTGAGTTTGATTCAAAGTGGGGGGCTGAGGATCTACCCTAGCAAACCTTTTGTATCATCCCAATACCCCCATGCATATGGGATATATTGAGCATGGTGATCAGATCATGATATGAATATACATAATTTAAATAATGTACCAGTAAGGCCTTCTTGTGGACTACCCTGAGAATTTTGGGGGGAGCTGAAGCCCCTCAAGCCCCCACCGAACGTTAACGGAAGGAAGGTCTACACTGGCTCTATGGCAGGCCTGCACAACCTTTAGCCCTCTAGGTGTTTTCAATGCAAGTTTCTAGATTTTCTGGCCACTGGACAAGCTGGCTAGGGCTTCTGGGAGCTGGACTCCCAAACATCTAGAGGGACACAGGTTGTGCAGGCCAGTTCTATGGCAAAGCCAAGGTGTGTTGAATTGCCAGCTATATAGTGTTGTTCTGCGTGCAAAACAACTATGCTACTTTGATCCAAAAAGAAATCCGGACTGCAAATAAAGACAATTTCTAAACAATAACAACCACCTATAAAGAAAACTACTGGATCAGATTAAAGACATCTTTAGTCCAATTTTCTATTTGCATTGTGGTCGGTTGCCTGTGTGCAGCCTAGCAGAAGAACATGAATGTCACTGTATTCCTTGTATGTTTTGGAGCAGAATCAAGGAAAAGTTGTCTGAGGCCTAAAGGTGAACCATTTCCAGTGAACAATTACTTTGGATCACAGCTTCCATAATGGAATTTTGCAGTAGGATGCCTTGATAATGAAGCACAGCAGTCAGGCCAAGATGGCCTTACAGATGAGATATAAATGACATATGGGAAGAGAACCACAGAAAGATGGATCACATTTTGCAAATAGAATTATATACCAAGGATGCTATATTAAACCGAAGCCTGATATTAATGGACATTATCCTCAGGGAAAAGTGCAGAGCTTAAGATGATCTAGAATTTTAAAAACAAAGGTGAGACTTGAAGAGTCTGCAGATCTCTCTTAGTCACAATATTAGCTCTGAAACTCAGTTTTAAAAACCCACAAACCTAAGAAGTAAGCTTCTCTGAGTATAGTGGATAAGTAGTTATAGACTGTAGTCTACATGCTAAATTATTACACTCACAGATATTTAGAATATTACAAATCTTTAGTCCCTGCCATATGCAGTGGCTGTATGAAAGCATTAAGGGCAACGCTGTACAAGTACGGTAGAAGAAAATCAATTCATCAGGATTCGTGGACTTAATGCGGTCCCGATGGTGAGGTGAAGGGGCGCCTCACCGGGAAGGGGTAAGTGAAGGGCGGAGCAAGCTGCAGGCGTTCGGGGTGCCCGGGGTATGGAAAAAAGAGATAGAGTGGCTCTGGGCCCAGAAAAACACAACTCTTTTATCTGCCTGGCCGGCCCTTATATCCTATTACCGTACCTCCTCCTCTGCCTCTCAGATCACGCTCCTGAAGACTGCAGTGAAGCAGTGCAGGTGCGCATGTGCGAGATCTGAGAGGCAGAGAAGGAGGTACAGTAATAGGAAAATTACCATATTAAAATAAAATCTGATGCTTTTAATTTTTTTATTTGGTGTGCATTAGAAGAGGGGTAGTCTTATACGGCGAGTATATCCCAAACTCTATATTTTAACTGGAAAAGTTGGGGGTTGCCTTATATGCCCAATCGTCTTATATGCCGGAAAATACGATAGTTGTTCCTGGGATTTAGAGGAGTGGCTACTTTTGATATTATACATTTTCCATCTAGCTGGGATCTCAAAGACTTCCCAAAATCAACACAACATTCGGTTTAGATTCTGCAAATCTAACTGCTACCTCATTCTCTCAATAGCGGTGGCTTAACAATCAGATATATGTATATACTCCCTGGACTCTTGGATTCTGGGCACTGATCACTACCAAACTCTTTTCTAAGGCTTGTAAATTGTATTTATGTTAGATCCTTAGCTTTTTGTGCTTTACTCACATGCAACATTGATAAAGAGGTGCAAGAATGCTTCTCTCATCCAGGGAAGGGTTGCCAAAACTGAAAAACAAATTGATAAAATTAGTTGAGTTCTCTGAAATGGTCTACTTCTGCCACAAAGCTAAGTACGAATCTACAATGTTGAAATCATCCCTACAATGCCAGTTAATACGCACACAAACTGAAGTAAATCAGAAGTACTTGTATTAACAGGTTGACAACTTTGCTTACAGAATTTCACTACTTATATGGCTTGATTCAGTTACTAAAAGCATAAAAGCATTAGGAGAGCTCATAATACTATGGTAATGATGATAAACAAGGCCATTAAAGTACTCTGAGAATGTGACAGATGTTTACATATCTCCTACCTTTTGGCATTATCAAGAAGAATAAGCATACTGGCTCCTTCATCATCCTGAAAGCTTTCATAATGATGTCGGTCAGCATTCCCAATCAAATAATCAAAGATGGCCGTATCTATGACATCAAGGAGTCGTGGGCCTGAGTCATATGGTGAGGTCTTCTTTACAGCGTCACAGTAGCTCTCATCATATTCCCACCTGCAAGGGGATAGACAGTCAGGTTATCTTAAACATTTACAGAAAGATTGTGCATTGTAAAATGTTTAGAACATTGCTTCTTAAATTGGGTCCCGACCCCAAATAGCTCAATGTTGGAATCACAAAAATGTTTCTGAATGTCACCTAGTGGCTGTTTTAGACTTTTATACCTCTGTTAGCAACAACGTGAAGCGCTTATAGTGGATTCTGCAGTAAATGCTTCAGCTGTACTTCTTAAATAGGAAAATCAGCCTGTTTAGCAAGCATTGTCAATGTAGATTTATTATCAGTAAACGTTTTGGTTTTTATACCTGTTTTATATGCCTATACACCTGAGGTCACATAAAAAAATATTGGGCAGAAAGAGGTCACTAGTGGAATAAGTTTAAGAAACCCTGGTTTAGAAAAAAAATTTGTATTTCTTTTAGAACTATTCAGAATGATATAATCTCTTAGCTGCCATATTCAGATTTATCCCTTCTGCTGATGTGTTGGGATATCAGGGTTGTCTATGGAAACATGAAAGTCAAATTACTTTTAATACCCACTAGATCCTCACGCAGGAGAAAGCAGAGCTGTCAATTCAGGTAGAGTTCTGATTAACATTCTCATATCTTGTTTCATGAGCAAACTGTTTTTCTCTTCCAGACAAAATGTTACTTTGTTTCCTCAGTATAATCTGAGTTCTTAATTCTCCATTCTACTCCCCAGAGTCTCTGCATTCTTAATAGTTTAATGAAAATTCACAAAAAGCAGATGGATGCATAAAGTATTGCATAAAGCTCATTGTGAATGCCTATAGTCTAAAGTCAATGTTAGGCTGTGCTTTTTATAACTGATAGTAAAGGGGGAGGGAGAGAAATGCCCTCCCCCAACCCCAACAACCAGTAGTTGAACAAAATTTGGACATAATATTTATTTATTTATTTATTTAAAACATTTATATTTTACCCTTCTCACCCCACAGGGGACTCAGGACGGAGCACAACATATATACAGCAAACATTCAATGCTGGGACATAAAACCATAAATATATACAAACATTAAAATCATTTATATCCACATTAAAAATTGCTTTAAAACCATCTCAGTACACCATTTTGCCTCATTACACTGCCCCAAAGGCTTGGTCCCACAGCCAGGTCTTCACCATCCTTCTGAAAGACAGGAGGGAGGGAGCTGATCTAATATTGCCAGGAAGGGAGTTCCAGGGGAATGGATAAAGTGCAAGCATGATCCTGCATGATGGTTAGGGCAGGACCTGAAGCTATTTATTTCCAAGGCCTGAGGCACAGATATGACAGGGCTGGGCCGGGGAAGTGGGTAAAGTGCAGAACACAGGGCCTTCACTAGTGGTCAGGGTATTGCCTGGAGCTATTAATTTCCAGGGCCTGCTGAATAGCTATAATAGAGCTAGGCTAGGTTAAGGGCAATGAGGTAGCAGAGATTTGTGAATATTTACAAATTTTCTGGATTGCTCAACTGAAATGGCAAAGAGATGTATATTATGAAAAATACCATACCTGGCGAGTTTGCCTTCCCTGTATGTCCTGCCCCATGGATGCCGATGCTTCTGAAGTGGCCAAACATCTGGCAACCACAATGTGACTGATCCCTCCATGATGTCACCCTCAGCACAGGCTGGTTCTGTTTCCCGGCAATAGTAGCACTTCCCATAGAAGCAAGTATTATTCCCTTGGAAGCAAGAAAAAAAAATCCCATGTCAATGTGCTGTTAGCATTTTTTGAAGCTTCCGATGTTTAGAATTTGTCTACGTAAGAAGAATTCCATCCTACAAGCTCAAGGCTGCAAGTTTATTCTCTTTGTTAGGGATTAAATCACACAGGAGAGCCAGCATGATGCAGTGAGGTTTAAGCACTGGACTCCAATTCTGGAGAATAGGGTTTGAATTCCTGCTCATGTTGGAAATGACAACAAGCCTTCTCTAGTAATATATTTATCTATGATCCTGTTGCTTACTGTTTCCTGTATGTATGCCCTGATGTGCAGCTTCCTTTACCCTACGGTTCCTAAGAAGTTTTAGAAGGGGCTTCCTCTCTCTCTTTTTGACTATGTGACCTGTTGATAGCTGTTTTGTTGTAAGAGAGATGGTACAGAGAATTATCTCAAACATATCTGAAACTGGACTGATAAGTTTTGTACCTGTGTATGCTGAACGCATAGAAGTTGTGAGTTAGCCAAATATGCTATTTCTATCCAAACCTACTTCATTTTTGTCTCTTGAGTACATGATATAAAACAAATTGTTATATGGGAGAGGATATATATTTTGGGCACTGAAAAGCCCTTCTAAATCTTTGCTGTTCTTATGCACTGGCAAATCTCTGTTTAGTCGAAGGCTTTCATGGCTGGAATCACTGGGTTGTTGTAGGTTTTTTTCGGGCTATATGGCCATATTCTAGAGGCATTCTCTCCTGACATTTCGCTTGCATCTATGGCAGTGGTTCTCAACCTGGGGTCCCCAGATGTTTTTGGCCTACAACTCCCAGAAATCCTAACAGCTGGTAAACTGGCTGGGATTTCTGGGAGTTGTAGGCCAAAAACATCTGGGGACCCCAGGTTGAGAACCACTGATCTATGGCAAGCATCCTCAGAGGTAGTGAGGATGCTTGCCATAGATGCAGGCGAAACATCAGGAGAGAAACATCAGGAGAGAACATGGCCATATAGCCCAAAAAAACCTACAACAGCCCCAATCTCTGTTTACCTAACACAGCAGGGATAACAGGTTATTCACTCTAACAACCGAAACGATTGGTTGGCATAATCATATCTGATTGTACACCACAAGAGAAGATTTTACTCTAAATGGCCTTTCTTCCCTGAAAGGTCATGCCTTTCTAAAAAGTTATGATATCCAAAAAGTGTTTTTCCAAAAGGTTATGAAAGCCATTTCCCAAAAGCTCAGCCATGGAAATCCACTGAGTGATCTCCATAAAGTCACACTCCCTTGGCCTCAGAAGAAGGTAAACACAAAAAACCCTCTGAACTAAACTTGTCAACAAAATCTTGTGATGCGTTTGCCTCAGGGTTGCACAAAGCAACAACAGATCACATAGAAATTAATAGAAATTCTGGGAACAAATAGGATAATTTGATTGTTGGATAATTGAAGTATTAATAAAAATCTATATAAATAAAATGTAATGTTCGTTTGTGGGATTAACAGAACTCAAAAACCACTGGAAGAATTGACACCAAATTTGGACACAAGACACCTAACAACCCAATGTATGTCCTTCACTAAAAAAAATATTGATTTTGTCATTTGGGAGTTGTAGTTGCTGGGATTTATAGTTCACCTACAATCAAAGAGCATTCTGAAACCCACCAACGATGGAATTGAACCAAACTTAGCACACAGTTCTCTCATGACCAACAGAAAATACTGGAAGGGTTTGGTGGGCAGTGTCCTTTGATTTTGGAGTTATAGTTCACCTACATCCAGAGATCACTGTGGACTCAAACAATGATGGATCTGGACCAAACTCTACATGAATACTCAATATGCCCAAATGTGAACACTGGTGGAGTTTGGGGAAAATAGAATCTTGACATTTGGGAGTTTTAGTTGCTGGGATTTATAGTTCACCTACAATCACAGAGCATTCTGAACCCCACCAACGATAAAATTGGGCCACAGAACCCCCATGTGGGCCACAGCAACACATGGCAGTGGACGGCTAGTTTAAAATAAGAATTAAAGGGAAGGGAGAGTACATAGGAAATGGGACATAGGCTAGGTGCACACTGACCATATTTCCAAAGACTTTCTATACCTGATAAAGGAAAGCCTGACTGAATGCAATGGGAGCCATTCTGGTTCAAGTATGCAAACAAAACTATTTTGTAGACACCATCTCTTTTATAAAGCCAGGCCCTCGTAGTCTGAAGATCTTTTAGTACATGTTACAGAACATTTAACTGCTTATAAGTGTATTATTTTAGACATGATTTACTGCTTCAAAATAATCTACTGAAATTCTTACTGAAGAATGTGTGTTCAGGCTTGTTCTACTACTGTCTCAGTTTACAGAAAAAGAAGTAAAACTGCTTCTCAACAGAAGGTGCCCTCTTTTATATACAGCAATCTGTGAAACAAGAAGGAAGACAGTACTGCAGTGTAATGTAGATCACCATTTTTCTTTCCATCTTCCCTTTTAAGAACCAGCTATGGACCACTGTATGCACCAATACAATACTAACTGCCACGTACCTAATGTGAGAAAGGTACTGAGCAGCTGTTCTGTGGCGACAGGTTTGATCTCTGTACGGAGATTAACAAATCTACCAACCACCAGAGGGGCTCGTCGGAAACCTAAAATTCTATATGGAGGACAAAAGACAGGAAGGAAACAAAATATGTGAATATGCAATGGAGAATAATCTTCATTCTTAAATACGAGACAAAAACATCAATTTAGAAGGTCATGTTTTCTGAGAATAACTGATACTTTAACTTAATCTTTGCAAATAAAAAAACCCAAAGATTACACATCCCTAATTATTATTTTGGTTTTTAGTCCTGTTCTTGGGGTTATTTGGGGTACTGATTCAGAAAATTGCATTGGCTAGACTGCATCAGCTCTAGTTTCTTAGAAAGGGTCATCATGATTTTTTATGGGTAAGCAGATGGCAACTGATAAAGGCATAAATTCAGAATCTCAAAAACTAGAGCTGATAGGGGAAAACTGGTGGCATGTTTGGAATCAGCAGGTCAAATATATCCAGAAACAGATCTAACATTTAAGGTACCAAAATATGTGTTAGCTAGTATCGGCTACATCTTAGGATTATCTATTGCTCATCTGGGTCCTGACAAAACAAAAGACAGGATGAGAGCAAATACTATTTACACATTTATATGCTGCCTTTTGTGCATCGAAGCACTCAAGATGGTATTCAGTTGGCCATTCATATCCATACACAGCCTGAAAATATCTGCTACCCCATTCAAAAAAACAAACCTTGATTGTGCCATTTTATAAAAGTGACACCATTTTATTATGCTACTGGATATGAACAGACTTGGATATCCATGGATTTTCTACCCACAGAGGTCCTGGAACTAACTCTCAGTGGATACCAAGTGCCTACTGCAACCCGTCCCCCTAGTAGACTCTATTCTAGGTAATGACCAGACTCAAACCAATGTAGCTTCAGGTTGCATTATGTGTCCTCAGAACATGCTCTTACTGCTTTACTACAGCTGTATAAGCAAGTCGACAAAAATGATTAGTCCACAGTTTTAATTAATCTGGCTTGATTAAACAGGACAGTGTAAGTAATTTCTATTTTCAGCTCCTATGTCTGGTCACTTGGAGCAATTCTAATGTCCTAAGAATTTAGTATTGTCTCTCACTCCAGTATGATAAATAAAATCAAATGATAATATAGCTGACATCAAGTTAGGGAGTTACAATGTCATAGGATGGACTCACAATCTCATAAATGTTCACACTTTTGATGGTGTCTCTATTGTCACAACCATAAATGTTCCTAAATTGTCTCTTGAAAGCTAGATAACCATACCAAACGAAGTAGTTCTGCACCACTAACAAGCATGGCACTAAAGCAGAACTTTTCAGTCTCTTTGTCATGATACATTAGTGTGTTGACTGCACTTTGCAGGTGTGACATGCAAACATAATGAGAAACCTATATGAAATCTATATAAATAAAAATGTAATGTTCGTTTCTGGGATTAACGTAACTCAAAAACCACTGGACGAATTGATACCAAATTAGGACACAATACACCAATCAGGCCAAGGCGTGACCATTACTCATAAAAACACTGAAAAACACAGCAGAAGAGACTAAAAAAGACCAAAAAACAAAAATACATTACAACGCATGCGCAAAACCACATATATACACATATACACAAATATATACACACACAAAACACATATACACATACTGGGCCACAGCAACGCGTGGCAGGGGACGGCTAGTAAGCAATAAATCATATATATCTTAAAATATAAATGAAAGATTTCACAAAAGGATGCATGCCTAAAAAGTGTGTCACCAACATGAAATGAAAGCTCTGCAATAAAGGGTAACAAATCCATCAGTGCCAGCAATTTTCTCGCAATTTAGTGAATTCCTTTCTTTAAAAAAACTTGTGTTTGAAGTAATTTATCATTCTACTTCTCATCTCAAAGAAAAGTGAATTGTAATCCAATATTTATATACCTGTCCAAATGGAATGCTGCCACCTCGGCATTGTGTCTGTCATACCCAGCATATGGCTCTCCTTCTACTACGTACTCTCTGGCATATCTAAAAGGCATTGTGAGAAGAGACAGTATTCAGAAAATTGCACTAGAATCCTTCAAGATACAAAAGAAAACCTAGCCTTCTGTATTACCACAAGATAATCAACAAAGAAAGGAATAGAATGTTAATTTGTCATTCCTGTTCTAAAATTATCTCATAGTGAAACATGCAATCTTTTTTGCAATCAGAAGAGTTAGCAACTGCCAGTGGATCCACTACATAGTCTTTCCAGCTTCTCTTGATCAAACAGAACTGATTTTCTCTTGGAAGAAGGGAAAGGGCACATATTTTTATGGCTGATTTCATACACAACATCAAACCATGTTTGAAGTTACACTGATGTAGTCATTTCAAGGGCCTCTTTCCTCATGTTTTTACACTGATGAACTGATGTGCAAGTTGCCTACTTTCTAGTTTATCTTCATTTTTTAATTCTTCCATTGGGGAATTATGGTCAGGCACTCCTGGGACTTGAGAAACCCTCACAGAAGTCATTAAGATGATAGGAGGAAAACTATAGTGAAATATTTACCGCTTAGGTTTGAAGACTACTTTCTGTCCACCTTCCAGTATGAGTAATGCCTTCAGCTGGGTGCCTTTGTAGCCCACATCTGCTTTTATTATCTTTTTTGTAGCCATGGCATGCATCACTGCCCCTAATTCTGGAGTCTCTTCTGGATATACCTCACGTGGCACCACCCACTGAGCGGCAATCTCCCAGGGAGACTGCAAGGTGTGGTCAAGTCGGGGATCCAGTTCCACCCGCAGGCTTGCCATCATACGGTGGAAGGCACGCTGATCCTCACGGTTAGCTGCCGACGTATCCAAGTTATCTATGAGGAAAACCTTGGTGAAAATGAAGATGACGAGAAGGATTGCCAAAAGCACCACACGTTGTTTCAACTTCATGATGACAAGGGATCCTCTTTCGATATGTTCATCCAAGGATTATGGAGAGTCTCTCACGAAGCAAGATGAAAAGCAGGATGGTACTTTATGGATGTCATTCCTAATGTTCACTCCAGTGGATACATAGTTGATGCTGCATCTTCTGGGATTCCTACAGAATAAAAAAGCAAAACTGAAATGCATATATTTCAGCAGTCAGAAGTACCTGCATAATGGAGGATGCTGGTTTGCAGCATCTCATCACTTTGTACAATAGACTAAGCTAATCATGCTTTAGTGTAGAGATGGCCAATATGTGGTTGCCCAGATATTGGATGACAACTTCCATTATTCCAATAGTACATTCGATTTTTCAGGGTAAAATGTGCATATTTTACAGGATTTTTTTCCCTAACATGTATGCAAAGTGTGCAAATCAATACCATCTTCTAGGCCACAAGAAAAAGTTAGAAAAATATGTCTTTTTTTCGTTTTAGACTTCAGGAAGTTAAGCAGCCTTTCAGTGAGACCATACACTCCAGTGGTAGTTTCAGGGATGATAGTGTTAAGTTTCTGAGTCCATTAGAAAACAGAATTACTCTTCTGTAGAGTCCCAATAAAAGAAAGCCAAAAATTGCACAGAAAATATAGTACACATCGCTAAGGTTACGGGTACAGAACCTCACCCCTCTCACAGAAGTGAAAAAACATGAATAAAGAAAACCAATTTTCTAACGTAAGATAACATCTCTAGGAATCTTTAGATTCTCCAGATAACTCTGTATTCATTTCCACAAATAATCAAATCTGCAAAAGTTAAGTCCACAAATGTGAAGGGTTGACTGTAAATCTAAGTAAAGGTTACTCGGTTTTCTTACATAATATCTCTTTCAGACAAGGCAAAGTCGGCACACAAATCCAGCTGAAACAATGAGAGAAGATGTGGTCAACATTTTAAATTTACTTTGAGTAATTATTTGAAAGAAAAATATTATGATGTACAGATGGCATTTTGACACCAGAGAGGCATTCTAAAATGTATAAGGTAAATTCTAACAAATAGAGATTTCGTTTTTAATGATAGTTAAGAGAGAAAAAACATGGGAGCTTTGAGGTCAAAAGAGGCAGTTTTTGAGAGTGTTTGGCTCTGGCTTTGCCCACTACAGGTTGAATTTTGCTTATCCAAAATGCCTGAGACCGAAAGCATGTTGTTGCTTTTATTTTAGAACACATAGCCTGAAGGTAGTCTTATACTCAATATTTTTAATAATTTTTGCATGAAATAAACTTTATGTACATTCAATCATCAGAAAGCAAAGCTGCCACTGCCTAAACGGCTCATGTGGACTATTTTGAATATATCTGGATTTCTGGATAAGGGATGGTCAACTTGTATTAGCATGTGGATACCCAACTTAAAAGGAATGAGGTTTGGTGGTTGGGAAGATGTTGGTCACGTTTTACATAAAGATAGTAATCTGTATTGTGACTTACAGTACATATATTTTTTACTGTGAATACGATTAACATATAAAGGCCCCTTCTACACTGCCAGGTTATCCAGGTTATCAAAGCAGAAAATCCACATTATCTGCTTTGAACCGGATTATCTTAAGTCTACATTGCCATATAATCCAATTCAAAGCAGATAATGTGGATTTTATACAGCTGTGTAGAAGGTGCCAAAGACCCTCTGCAATTCCATAATCTGCACAGCTTTATGTTACTAGAAGGAACTTTTTTTTAGCACCAGGAACAACTAGTTCTGCCTTTGGCACCAAAACCATTACTTGGACCAACATTATTATCTATTAAAAGTACCTGCTAGTGGCTATCTTTCAATTGATAATACTGCTGTTAGGGGGATTTGTAACTGGTTCCTCTTCATCCTGGAAAGAAGCAATTGCCGCAGGATTCTGTTCTAGGCACAGTACTGTTCAATTTCTTTACTAATGACTTGGATGAAGGTTTAGAGGGTGTGCATTTTAAGTCTGCAGATGACACCAAATTAAGAGGGATGGCTAATACTCCAGTGGACAGAATTAGAATTCAAAATGACTGCAACAGATTAGAGTGCTGGGCCAAAATTAACAAAATGAATTTCAAGAAGGACAAATGTAAGATACAACACTTAGGTAGAAAAAATGAAACGCAAAGCAAAGGTACAAAATGGGTGATGCCTGGCTCGACAACAGTCCCTGTGAGAAACATCTTGGAGTCTTTGTGGACAACAAATTGAACATGAGCCAACAATGTGATGCAGCAGCTAAAAATGCAAATGGGATTTTGGGCTGCATCAAAAGGAGTCTAGTGTCTCAATCAAGGGAAGTCATGGTGCCTTTGTATTCTGCTTTGGTTAGACCTCACCTGGAATACTGTGCTCAATTCTGGGCACTACAGTTCAAAAGAAATATTGACAAGCTGTTCCTGACAGCCTACCGGGAGGTGAAGTTCAAAACACCTGGAGGGCCGAAGCCCTGAGTCTACACTGCCAGATAATCTGGGACAAGAGGATACTTTGGGATCAGATCCTGGGATATAGGCCACTGTAGATCTAGGGCCTTTCCACACAGCCATATAACCCAGAATATCAAGGCAGAAAATCCCACAATATTTATTATTTCTTTATTGTATTTATATACCACCTTTCTCAACCCGAAGGCGACTCAGGGCGGTTTACATTGAATGTTTGCCAATTTTCTGTTGTAAACCGCCCTGAGTCCCCTCGGGGAGATAGGGCAGTATAGAAATAAAGTTTATTATATTATTATTATTACATTCAATACAATTTGATGCCCCCAACAATATAAAAACAATTAAAACATTAGCGTGTAAAATATAAATTAATATAAAGTCAATAAAATACTTATATATTGTCTCCTGCATATGTCATCAGTTGGAGAGAGCCCCCAGTGGCGCAGTGGGTTAAACCCCTAAGCCAGCAGGACTGAAGACCGACAGATCGCAGGTTCGAATCCGGGGAGAGGCGGATGAGCTCCCTCTATCAGCTCCAGCTCCTCATGCGGGGACATGAGAGAAGCCTCCCACAAGGATGATAAAAACATCAAATCATCCGGGCGTCCCCTGGGCAACGTCGTTGCGGCCAATTCTCTCACACCAGAAGCGACTTGCAGTTTCTCAAGTCGCTCCTGACACAAAAAAAATAAATAAATCAGTTGGAGACCCCTCCCCCCAGCACCAACTGCCACAGTGAAGAGAGAGGGGGCCAGGGGACAGCTCCACCTTGTCTCCTGTGCTATGCTATGCTATGCTTATAATATAATGTTATGTAGCAGGGGTCCTCAAACTAAGGCCCGGGGGCCAGATATGGCCCTCCAAGGTCATTTACCCGGCCCTTGCTCAGGGTCAACCTAAGTCTGAAACGACTTGAAAGCACATAACAACAACAATAATCCTATCTCATCAGCCAAAAGCAGGCCCACACTTCCCGTTGAAATACTAATAAGTTTATATTTGTTAATATTGTTCTTCATTTTAAGTATTATATTGTTTTAAAGTGTTTTTTGCACTACAAATAAGATATGTGCAGTGTGCATAGGAATTCAATTTTTTTTTTCAAATTATAATCCGGCCCTCCAACAGTTTGAGGGACTGTAACCTGGCCCTCTGTTTAAAAAGTTTGAGGACCCTTATTATGTAGTATAATATAATATATTGTATATACATATAATATTTATAATATTATAATGTAATGCAATATAATATGATATTATAATTATATATTCATATTACATGTAATATTAGTAATAATATTACAATATAATGGTATAGTACAATATAGTAATATTTAATACTGATATTGTACTATGCTAATAATAAAATATATTGTATGTATCTTGTAAGCCGCTCTGAGTGCCCTTCAGGGCGAGAAGGGCGGCACATAAATGTCGTAAATAAAATAAATAAAAACATATATCCTCAGTGTCTCCTTACTAAAATCATTATTCAATACCTGCCTCAGGGGAGCGTGCTTGCTCCATCCATGTTCAACATCTACACAAATGACCAGCCACTGCCAGAAGGGACAGAGAGTTTCATCTATGCTGATGACCGTGTCATTACTGCTCAAGCAGGGAGCTTTGGGATGGTAGAACAGAAGCTTTCCGAAGCTCTAGGTGCTCTTACTGCCTATTACAGGGAAAACCAGCTGATCCCCAACCCATCTAAAACACAGACATGTGCCTTTCATCTCAAGAACAGAGAAGCATCCCGAGCTCTGAAGATCACCTGGGAAGGAATCCCACTGGAGCATTGCAGCGCACCCAAATACCTGGGAGTCACTCTGGACCGTGCTCTCACCTACAAGAAGCACTGCCTGAACATCAAGCAAAAAGTGGGTGCTAGAAACAATATCATACGAAAGCTGACTGGCACAACCTGGGGATCACAACCAGATACAGTGAAGACATCTGCCCTTGCGCTGTGCTACTCTGCTGCTGAGTATGCATGCCCAGTGTGGAACACATCTCACCACACAACAGTGGATGTGGCTCTTAATGAGACATGCCGCATTATCACGGGGTGTCTGCGCCCTACACCACTGGAGAAATTACACTGCTTAGCCGGTATTGCACCACCTGACATCCGCCGGGAAGTAGCAGCCAATAGTGAAAGGACCAAGGCAGAGACATCTCCAGCTCATCCCCTGTTTGGGTATCAGCGAGCACGTCAACGACTTAAATCAAGAAATAGTTTTCTAAGATCTACAGAGACACTCGCTGGAACACCTCAGCAAGCGAGAGTCCAAAAGTGGCAGGCTCAAACCCAGAACCTCAACCAATGGCTGATACCAAATGAGAGACTCCCCTGGGCACACAGAGGACTGGGTGACTTGGAAGGCGCTGAACAGACTGCGCTCTGGCACCACGAGATGCAGAGCCAACCTTCAGAAATGGGGCTACAAAGTGGAATCCAGAACATGCGAGTGAATCCTCGACACTGACCACCTGCTGCAATGCAACCTGAGCCCTGCCACATGCACAATGGAGGACCTTCTTGCAGCAACACCAGAGGCACTCCCAAGTGGCCTGATACTGGTCAAAGGACATTTAATCAACTACCAAACTCACACATTTTGTATTTTCTCTGTTTGTTTGCTTTGTTCTGTTAGAAATGTAATATAATTGACTGGCTGCCCTGCACTCTAATCTGTTACAGTCATTTTGAATTCTAATTCTGTCCACTGGAGTATTAGCCATCCCTCTTAATTTGGTGTCATCTGCAGACTTAAAATGCACACCCTCTAAACCTTCATCCAAGTCATTAGTAAAGAAATTGAACAGTACTGGGCCCAGGACAGGACCCTGCGGCACTCGCTTCTTTCCAGGATGAAGAGGAACCAGTTACAAATCCCGCTAATACAATATAATGGTATAGTACAATATAGTAATATTTAATACTGATATTGTACTATGCTAATAATATAATATATTGTATGTATATCTTGTAAGCTGCTCTGAGTGCCCTTCGGGGAAAGAAGGGCGGCATATAAATGTAATAAAATAAATAACATATATCCTCAGCGTCTCCTTACTAAAATCATTATTCAATACCTGCCTTGAACTGGGTTATCTGAGTCCACATTGCCATATATTCCAGTTCAAAGCAGAAAATGTGGGATATTATACAGCTGTGTGGAAGGGGCCTCAGACTCCTAGATCCCTTTCATAGGGACTCTTTTAATGCATTATGCTTTCCATGACTTTGGCTCTTCCGCCCAAGAGCAGGATAGTCTTTCTTTCTGTCGCCCACACAAGATAACACAGGGAGTCAGCTATGTGTATGTTTTCATTGTGTATCCTTCTGAAGGAAAGGACTAAACACCCGCTTTTAGTTCTGTTCAAAGGCAAGTCGTACTTTTTGAATTCCCTGGAGGGTATGTTGTAATTGTTTTCCCTGCGGGCTGCGTGGGTGCGCGCTCTGCGTATGCTCAGGAAGCCCTTGCTCTTCTCAGCCTTTCCTCCTTGTGGTCTGTGAGGCGCTAGGCCTGACTCCCTCCTGTGCGCGCGCCTGCCCCTTCCCTCACCCCCTCCCATCTCCACTTACCCCTCGCGCCATGTCCTCGCGCCATGCCCTCGCGCCGGGCCGGCCTCCGCCGTCGCCACTGCCCTCCCCTCTCTCTCTTTCTCTCTCCCCCCTCCCCCTCGCCCGGCCCTGCGCCATCCAATAGCAGCGCCCGAGAAAGGCCACGCCCCCGCCTCCCCCTCAACGTCCCCAACCCGAACCAAACAAAGCGCAGGACTAGTCTCGCGCTTCAGGGCTTCGCAAGCCGCCAAGCACTGAGGAGGGCTTCTCTCACCAATGGCAGGCCGCCGTCGCCCGGTTTCCTTCGAGTCCTTCCGTGTTTCTCATCCAATAGGACGCCGCGCTGATCATGCCCTGCCCCTTTCGCGTTGGCACGCGGGAAGACGGGACGGGGCCCTGCCAAGTTGTCCTCTTTTCTGTTAACCCTCCCATGGCTGCATAGAAATGCCTTGCTCGTGGTCGGACTTCAAACCCCAGAAGCCTCAGCTTAGAATGGCTGGCATGGAAGGATTCTGGGAATTGTAGGCATAAGCGCTATTTTAAAGAGCACTGTGTTTCCAGGAAACATGGACAGCACCTCGGGGTGAAACTAAAGGGAAACGAGGCTGGATTTGCACTACTATATAATTCAGATGGTCAAAGCAGATAATCCACATGATCTGCTTTGAACTGGATTATATGAGTCTCCACTGCCATATAATCCAGTTCAATGTGGATTTTATATCGCTGTGTGGAAGGGGCTTGGATCTACACTGCCATATAATCCAGATGATCAAAGCACATAATTCACATTATCTGCTGTGAACTGGATTAGATGAGGCCTCCATCTACACTGTCATAAAATCCAGATTATCTGTTTTGAACTAGATTATGTGGCAATGTAAGGCAAAGGTATTTATTTATTATTTATTTCCTATATTTATACCGATATATCTTCTATTTAAATAAAAATGTAATGTTCGTTTGTGGGATTAACACAACTCAAAAACTACTGGGGGAATTGACACCACATTTGGACACAATACACCTAACAACCCAATGTATGTTCTTCACTCAAAAAATGATTTTGTCATTTTGGGAGTTGTAGTTGATGGGATTTATAGTTCACCAACAATCACAGAGCATTCTGAATCCCACCAACGATAGAATTGGGCCAAACTTCCCACACAGAACCCTCATGTGGGCCACAGCAGCGCGTGGCAGGGGACGGCTAGTATAAATAAAAATGTAATGTGCGTTTGTGGGATTGACATAATTCAAAAACCACTGGACAAATTGCCGCCAAATTTGCCCCAAGACACCTACTGACCCAAGGAGTGACCATCACTAACCCCCCCCCCCTCCTGATTTCGTCATTTGGGAATTGTAGTCCCACACAGAACCCCTATGACCAATACTTAAGGCCATGCAGTCCAACTCCCTTCATCAGGGCAAGAAAACATAATCAAATACTGTTTACCCACACGCGTAAAGAAATTACGTATATTAGAAACCAACACTTTCTCATTACTTTATTTTCCAGATCACCAGACTGGGCCACAGCAATGCGTGTGTGTGTGTGTGTGTGTGTGTATATATATATATACACACACACACACACACACACATACTATATTTATATAAATATACTATATTTATATAAAGGTAAAGGTGTTCCCCTGACATTAAGTCCAGTCGTGTCCGACTCTGGGGTATGGTGCTCATCTCCATTTCTAAGACGAAGAGCCGGCGTTGTCCATAGACACCTCCAAGGTCATGTGGCTAGCATGACTGCATGGAGCACAGTTACCTTCCCACCAGATTGATCTACTCACATTTGCATGTTTTCAAACTGCTAGGTTGGCAGAAGCTGGGGCTGACAGCGGGAGCTTACACCGCTCCCCAGATTCAAACCTGTGACCTTTTGGTCAACAAGTTTAGCAGCTCAGCGATTTAACCCACTGCACCACCGGGGGCTCCAATGTGGCAATGTAGACCCATATAATTCTGCTCAAAACAGATAAAGTGGATTATCCGTTTTGCTAATCTGGATTATATGGCCATGTGGAAGGGGCCTGAGTGTACACTGCCATATAATGCAGTCCAAAGTATGATCTGGATTTTATATGGCAGTGCAGATCGAGCCTGACACCAGTATTCTGCTTGGCATCACATTAACCGCCATGACAATTGGATTCTGGAATGTGTGGCTTTTTGAGATTTTTACTCTTCCCTGGCCCCATCTACACTGCCATATAAAATCTAGATTATCAGCTTTGAACTAACAATGTTGACTCATACATATAATTCAGTTCAAAGCAGATAATGTGGATTATCTGCTTTGATAATCAGGTTTATATGGCAGTGTAGGAGGAGCCTCTGTCAACTGTGGGGCCACAACAATCTACATATCCCAGGCTTCCATAGAATGGCACCTTGGCAGGTAAAGTATCAAACTGCGATAACACTACAGTGTGGAGGGTCTCTGGGCCTGTTGCCGTCTTCCTTCCCTCACTCAACATTGAGGTTCAGTTTAACTCTCATAGCTAACAATCATTGATAGAATTTAATATTGGTATATCTAACAGTCAACGTATGTACATGTTTGTTTCTTGCAACCACAAAGGCTTCTACATGGTTTGATGGAGACCAGTGCTTTCCAAACTGTGTGTCATGACACAGTAGTTGTTGGCTACAGCATGCAGGCATGTCACACGAATGTAACAAGACACCCCTGATTCTATGTGAAATAACCAACCATATATGTGTTTGTGTGTGTATGAAAGGTTTTCATATATGTTATGTTCCCATGCATTTCGTTGTTACAATTTACATATATGCCTGTATCTCTTATAAGGGATTGCTTTAACTTGTGGTTTGCTAGTAAAACTGAATTACTGTGTTGTGAAATGATGCACGTCTAAAACAGTGTGTTATCTACACAAAATGTTTGGAAAGATCAGATCTAGACCAAACTTGGAACATGTATCCTTCATTATCCAACTGATGATAATTGAGGGATTTGAACATACCACACACACACACACACAAATACATGCATATATGCATATATGCATACATACATACATACAACTCCTTTCAGGCCTAGAGCAGAGGGAAAGAAAAGGAAAAAAGCAGACTGACTGTGGCTAGGTGAAGTGGCCCTCTGTCACTGGGAAATAAAGGGAGTGAAGTGGATTGACTGTTAGTAGAAGTTGGAGGGAGGGAGGAAGAAAAGAAAAGAGAGGGAAGAAAGAAAGAAAAAGGAAAAGAAAAAAGTATGAGGGAAAGGAAGGAAAGAAAACTAGGAAGGGAAGAGAAGGAAAAGAAGAAAGAATGGAGAAAGGGAGGGAAAAAGAAAAAGAAGGAAAGAGGAAGGGAGGGAGGGAGGAAAAGTCAGTAAGGAAGGAGAAAGAATGAAGGGGAAAGAAGAAAGGAAGGAAGGAAGGAAGGAGGGAAAAAGAAGGAAGGAAAAAGAAAGAAAAGGAAGGGAAATATGTATGAGTGAAAGCAAGGGAAGAAGAAAGAAAGTAAAGAAAGAGAGGTAGGAAATGGAAGAAGGAAAGAAAGAGCTACAAAGAAAATGCATACTGGCGCAACACTGGGTATACATGCTACAGTAATAATAAAAAACAATTAATTTGCAAAGCCTTGCCACCATGAGTCGCTGTTACTGCAACTTACTGCACTAAATTCCACAAAGTTTCAATCATGGGCAGGATCTACACTGCCTTATAATGAGATTATCAAAGCAGATGATCCACATTATCTGCTTTAAACTGGATTATCTGAGTCTACTCTGCCATATAATCCTGTTCAAAGCAGATAATCTGGATTTTATACGGCAGTGTAGGCCCCTTCCAAGCAGCTGCATAAAATCCACACTAAACTGGATTATATGGCAGTGTGGACTCAGATAATCCAGTTCTGCCTTGATATTCTGGGTTATATGGCTGTGTGGAAGGTCCTGTAGTGGGTCCAATGATACAGTTGGACCCACTTCAGACTAAACCCATGGTGTACAGTCTTCTGATGCAAGTTACAGAGTAGTTGGACCACATAAAGTGATTTACTTACTTTTTCCTTTCCTGTTCAGCCACTCTGAAGGAACAGTCCAGCTCCTTCAAGGATATGACTCTTCTAAGTCAATGTGTGCAGCAAACTATAACCCTCCTACTTAAACAAATGTTGAGCAACGTGGACTAATCTGAACATACCGCTTTGTCAAAGGTGTAAAAAAATGAAGAGAAGGCGAAGAATGCATTTTTTCATATGAGAAGGAAGTTTACCTCCCTGCAAAGAAAGGTTGGCATTCGTTTTGATACCAATGCGGATAAAATTAAATCAGAGGTGCACAAGTGGCTTATAATGAAGAATTTTAGTCTATTATGCTTTAGAGTTTCAAGTATATTTGTATGTCCTTTTCATACACATAATATGCTCAAAGTAGTTTACAACTACACAAAATTTAACTATTGTCTTCTTTAATTTTTCAGTTAAGAGATTAAAATTAAAAGAATGGCAGTCAGCAGAAATGGTAATGTTTTTGATACGGTGCCAATTTGACTGAAAACTGGGTATAAAAAGAGATGTTCAGAAATCTATGCATGTCTATTTATTCGGTGAAACAAAGAAGACATCTAATGTGACATGCTGCCACTTTAGCTGCCTTGGCAGGATATGTATCATGAAGGGTAGGATGGAAATAACTGCAAAAAATAGTGTTTCTCTAGCATCCCAATTTCTGTGTTTTCAGGAAAGATCTTATGTACTCTCAAGGCACTTGTTCTGTCACCGCTGGACCTGAAATGAAGTGCTTTAAGAGAGGATGTATGGCTTGAATCCAGCGGGAAGCCAGGGCCCCCGAAAAGGTGCCTTTAGAGAAATTTCCCTCATTAAACAGTCTTTAGGAGGCTTGAGCTTAAATATAACAGTCTTTTATTGATGAACAAAGAGGAATTGTAAAGCTTTCTTGGCAAAAAAACAGTTCTCTCAAACTTGTCCACAGGGAACAGGCACTATCTTCAATAACTTTGCTCAAAAGAAAATTCCCCTTTCTAGCTCCTCCCAGGCTACTGTGAACCTAAACCTGACTGATTTGAATCCACTACCGGCTGAACTGCGTCTC